AATGAAGATGGATACTGTTGTTAAAAATGGGTAGGTCTAAATTTTATATCGTATACGAAAAGGGATCATGTTCAAAATTAATAAGTTAAGGAGTGACCTATAGATAGTGTTAAGTTAAACGGGCTAGTTATTTCTCCTCCACCTAATGCAAAGGCACACTCGAATTGAGTTATTTAGTTTTGGAGGGATTACTTCTGATCGGATTTTTAAAAATATTTATTTTCTAATTATTTCGTTTATATTAAATTTCAATTTTATTAATTTAACGTTGTGGATTGTCCCATTTCGTCTTAATTTTTTGGAAGCTGAACGTTATTCAGCTAAATATCAACCACGCCACTTCCTGAATAGCTCTAGGATATATTAGGGATATTCCATGGATATTCGATTTTCTCTGGTGTAAATTTGGGGTTCTCTAGTTTAAACCAAATTTCGATGTTGCCTAGGGCAAAGTATTTCTATCTGGAACATAAATGCGTATTCTACTCCATATATATTTTTTATTTTTTAGAACCACAACAAGCCCTGAACTTTGCTTAGAAGGAATGCCTTCTGTAAACAACGACATTAACAAAAACGACTTTTTCACACGTTGTGGGATAACCTGGAATTATTTAACTTCAACACGGTCAATGAGCGAGTTTGATGATCTTCGTCGTCGACATCAAGTAAATTTTCAAATATTGTCTTTGAAATAAATCTAAAAATTCAGGTTTCAAAAAACAGACATGTCGGTTATGGAATTCGCTATGCATGTACTAGAAATGCTAAAGCAAGGGATAATTGTCCTTATCTGTTACTTCATATTCCTGGTAAATTTTATTTGATTCACAATTGGAATAAAGTTTAAAATTAAAGGAAATAATGGCATTCAACATGTTTACTCGAGAAATTGTCATACTCATCCAATCAAACATATCCGTTCAAGAAATAGAAACTGATTTGATATTGAATACCTCTGGAATATTTTCCAATAAACTAATTTTTAATTTAAAAATTTGATAAAAATTTTGATAGAAAAGTTCATTGTAATGAAAATTCGATTATGCTTTTACTCATCCAATTAACTCATCCAAAATTCTAATAATTTTTAAATTTCATGAAATTAACTGGTCGAATCAAACGCTACCTTTTTTCTGAAGCAGCGCATGATTTGTCAATAAAGATTGACATTCAAAAATACAAAGATGATGAGACAACAAATAATTTGCTTTAATCCTAATTTATTTATTTTTAAATTTCAAATAAAAAATATTTAGGATTATCTTAATTTATTTAGAAGATTAGATTTATTTTTTAAAATAATGTTTCTATAATTCATTGTATTCATCCTCAATATTTGATCCTTGCAAGATACGACGGTTAATTTTTTGGAAGCTGAACTGTATTCAGCTAAGAATTCTATAGAAAATCTCAAGGTATTGTTGTCTGATCGAACCTAAAAATATTTATTTTCTTATTATCTCGTCTATATTAATTTTTAATTTGTTTAGTTAAGGAGTATGTATATTTGTGGAGTTCGTCTAATTTTTTGGAAGTTGAACTGGATTCAGCTAATAAAGTTAATTGTTAAGACCATAAATCGTCGAAAGCTTTTTCCGATAATACCGGTACTTCGAAAATAAACTAACGAACATCGAAATTTATCTATTCTGTATTGTGGAGGCTAATTGCTCGCATTCTTCTTTATTTGACTACAGGCAAGAATTAACGGTGAATCAGTCTTTTTTAAACAAAAAGACGCCCACGTATTTTGGAAGCCAGCTCGTACCAAAATTCGTAATATGGTACGAAATACAAGTACGAGCAAAATTGAAATTTATGAGCACTGGTTAGGACCAACTCTATTTGCACAATTCTGTATTAGTTAAGAAACCTTGCCTAAATAAAATGTAGAATATAGAATCTAAGATTAGGGGGAATTTTTTATGTTTTTTTATTTTTTGGGAGCTAATTTTACATTAGCTAATTTATGCGAAATATTTAAGTATTGCAGAATATTATTTAGATATATTTATTAGATATATATTCTCCTGGCTAATTATTAGCTTAATTTATCATAATATTGTTATTAATAGTTGGTTAACTAGTGTTTAAAAAAGGTTTACCTAATCATGCAAAAAATACACAGACTCGAATGAAAACTACGAGTAGTCAGTTAATGGTCTAATTTGGTTCTGATTATTTTAGTCTATTTTCTATTTTGTGGGGGAATCAAGCAAATACTAATCGATGAACCTTCAGGAAATCAGAGTAAAAAAAATATGTGTCGGGACTGCTTTTTGCGGGAACATTAATCTGTCAATAATGATTGACACTCAAAAATAGATACATCATTACTTTGGGATAAGCAATTATTCTCTAATTAGAATGTACATATTTAATTAAATTTGAATTAAAAGTTATTGCGTAAAATTTATTAAAAATTTATTTTATGAAAATAAGGTTTTAAATAGACACAAATTCCATAAGTAATTAAAAAAACATCAAAATTTGTCATATATTTATTGTTTTATTTCTTCACTTCAAGCAACAATAGTGCAAAGTTCTGGGGGTTTGGGCATTTCAAGTTTTGACGATTTAGAAGGATTGGGTTGTTTGCGTTCAGCAGGAAGAGTGGAAGTTTTGTCAGTAGTTTCCATCTCGTCAGAATCAGATCCAAAGTCAAAAGGTTTCTTTCCAAAAAAGCGTCCAAACGATTTGCCAAATGATTCAGAAACTTGCTAAAAATAATTTGGTATTATTCGGTTATCTCACACAATTTTATTTTTCTTCTCATTTTTTCAACAACAAAATAAGACATTTCAAAACCCGTAAAGCCCCAACTTACCACAAGCCAAACCTAACACAAAGCTATAACTTAGTTCAGAATTGTCGAATCCGGGACGACCTAGTATGGTTCGATTCAGCTCGTCGAGGCGCATCGACCATACCAGGGCGTCCCAGCGATAATTCATAACGAAGTTATAGCTCTGCGGTACCTTGGGCTCGCGGTAAGTTAGCCTACTCCAGTTAAACCCATCACAACTAGAATCTACTTCTTTGAAGAAAGGGAGATTTGAGAAGAAAAAAAATGTTGGAAAGACCAAAAAGTATAATTGTAGGTCCGTATCCGACTTGTAATATATTTTGTATTAGTTATCGTTCTGCAGTAGATTCCCTTAGTAGAAAATTGGAAAATATAAATTTGTTTAATTAAGTAAGTTTTTACGTCAAAAATTTCAAATGATTTTATTTCGTGGCAGTTTTTTTGTCGTAGATTATTTTTGGGAACTCATCAGTGATGAGTTAATTTGTGAATTAACTGATTTATCCTAGCCCAACTTAAAAAATCTTACCCGATTAATTTGATCATTCAACGCCTTTTGGTACTCCTCCAATTTCTCGTCGAATTCCTCCAACTCTTTTTGCTCACTCTCATTCAGTTTGCGAACAAAGTTGTTTCCAATGTACAGACTGTCTCCTTGAACCATACATCCATTGAATACAAATTGAGTTCTGGCCTTTAAATAAAAATTAAAGGTTACTTAATTACGTTTCGAACTCTCGCTGTGGGTGCGGTATATTTTTATATAGATACGGTATATTTTTTGCTTAATATATAATTTGATATATTTCACAATTTTAGTAAAGATTATCAAGTATTGCTTTAAAATAATGTTGATAATTTGTCTTTTTATTTTTGTAAGTCAAAATTTTGATTTGACTAATCCGACAAAATCATAATGTAAATTATATAATGGAATCCTATCAGCTCTTATCAATAAAAATTTGCTTAATATATAATTTCATTATTTACAATTTTAATAAAGAATATCTATGACAGCATTATCCTACTTAAAGTTGACCAACGGGTGTATTTTTGTAAGTCAAATTTTATTTTGACTAATCAAAAGTAAATTAATTATTTCGATAGTTACTTTCACTGGAAAATAATTATCATGATAATCTTCTCATTATGAAATCATATCGGGCACTATATTTCTCTAGGTATAATATTAAATTCTTAATTAGGCATAGTTAAATTCTAACTCACCTTCTGGCCACAAAAGCTTGGAGACTTGGGAGGTTCAGGAGCCCTGTCTTTTGTCTTGCTTTCTTCTTTCCCTCCGAATGGAGCATTCCAATTATCCTCAAAGTACTTTTTAGATTTATTGCGGTATTCGGCAACGTCATTTTTGTATTGCTCTAATTCTTGAACTTCATCAGGGTTCAAATCTTTTGTGAAGATGCCGTTTATGTAGAGCTGTTGTCCTTGAAATTTTCAATAATGGAAATTTAAAAAATTTGTGGCTTAAATTTAATAATTTTTGAGGTTTTGTCAGGACTTTTACTTTGGACAGAAACAAATAAGTCTAGACATATTAGCATTAGTCAAATCTATTGACTTGCAAAAATATAACATTGTAGATGTGAACCCAATGATTCCCTTAAAATATTTGACATAAAATTAAAAAATTTTTAGACAATTTTATATTGAGTATATTTTTTTACCGAAACAACGCAACCAGTACTTCCACCACTGCTAAAGCTTTGAAAAGTAGAAACACCTCCGCAACAGAAACGGCGGGCACGTGAGTTTTGAGCCAGTTCAGCATTAACACTAAAAAGGTTAAGCGGTTTTAAAATTATTTAAACATTATTTGAAGCGCATATCAGCGATAGATTGAAATAACAATTGACCAAGTTAATTAATCAAGACGGATTTAAGGACTCGTTCATTATTTGTTTAGTAGCAATTTTTATATTAATTTAATTTTAAGTAAACTAAATATTAGTGGAACTGTTGTTAGGTACCACCAATTGCGTTGATATTTTTGTAAGCCAAGCTATCAGGGCTGTGCGCCAAAATTTTCGCATGGCGCGCCAAACGCCAATTTTTCAAAAATTTAAAACACGCCAAACGCCAAACGCCAAAAATCGGCCAAAATTAACGCCAAAACGCCAAACGCCAGACGCCAAACGCCAAAATTTTTATAACATAAATTTAAAAAATCAAATCAAATATCAGCAAATCCACTGATCAAAATATTATGATGATTAAATACTAATTGTTCTAAATGCTCTCCGTTCAAGCTTTTTCTCATATCATTTAATGTTGTGTTGACAGTTGAAAAAAGTCTTTCCGATTCAGATGATGTAGCAGGCGCACAACAAAATTTTGTATAAAGCTGAGTTAAGTGTGGGTATTTTGCTTGATTTAATTTACTTCTCCAAAATGAAGCAACATCAGAGTAATTTGTCTCTGCAGGTCTTGTTAAATAATCTTCGACCTCCTAAATTAGAATTGATCGAGAATAAAAACATTTTATCTACCGCTAAAGTTTGTAATTTCTCATCAATCGCTGGTGGAGAAATAACATCAACACGACTAGTTCCAGCAAAATAATCCTTAACTTCTTCAAACATATTTAATTCATTACAAGTAGAGACTGATTCGCATTCCATCTAAAAATAATTATAATTATATAAAATATTTTAGAAATAATCAAACATCTATAGTTGCTGGACACTCTTTTTGAATTTCATTGATTAACATTTCTTTATACTCAGCATGCTTTTCTGGTGGTAATAGGGTCATTTTAAAATATGGATCTAATATAGTTGGAATGATTAGATTGACTTCCTCTTCCCATCCAAACATTCGTCGTTTAATTCCATTAACAATAGCTTCTCTAACTCTCGGAAATTCAATAGCAACAGGTTTTGAAATTAATTTGACTTCGATAGCTTTTAGAAGGGGAATAATGTAACCAATAGATGTTGTACGTTTTTGAAGAAAAATTGTTGCATTATAAATTGGTCTTAAAGAGAGAAATAGGGGGAGAGAAAATAGCTAGAGAGAAATAGGATGAAAATAATATAGATAGAGAAAGAAATAAAAAACAACTAATTAAACATATATAGGTAAATATGAAGTTAGAGAGAAATTGTTTGAAAAGAATACATAAATTAGAGAAAGAAACAAAAAATTAAAATCATTTCGAAAAACATTGCTTTATTAAAAAATTTCCGCCATTAGGGGTGTATATTTCTGGCGTTTGGCGCGCCAAAAATTGAAAATCACGCCAAACGCAAAACGCCAAAAATCGGCCAAAATTAACGCCAAAACGCAAAACGCCAAACGCCATGACGCACAGCCCTGCAAGCTATGCTTAGGCTAAGTTGGAAGTTAACCTATTCTAAGGCTAGGTTATTCCGTAGCTTTATCAAAGATTTTTCCACAACTACTGATTATTTATTTATTTATTTATTTATGAGCAACCACACGGTATAAAAATACACTAATAGTGGTGAAATTTAAAAGACAAATATATGTAAAAAGGACAAATATATGTAAAAAAAAGACAAATATATGTAAAAAATTAATTTAATGAGAATTATGTATTTGGTGTGTTTGGTGAAATAATTGTTTTGGTATACATTTTGTTAAAAAAAAATTTGTTTTACCTCACCAAACATTTAATAAATAGATTAAAACTTAAGGAAAAATGTTTCCGTTATCTGATATCCATTTTCTAATATATTTCCTGAATGGCTTTTTATGCATTATACCCATAATTTCATTAGGTAGTTTATTCCAGTTTGTTATATTTCTTATAAAAAAGTTATTTCTGGATTTCGAATTGTATCTTTGGTTTTGAAGGAGAAGGGGTTTTCTCTTTGCTTTTTTTGCAAATGCGAAGAAGTTTTCAGGTTTTAAGTGTGTATTCTGATACAGGATTTTTTGAGTCATACAAAGATCATTAATTTGTCTTCGTATGTCTAATTTCTCTAAGTTACATATTTTTAATCTTTCTTCATATTTTATTTTAATAAATCCAGATTTTTTAAATGCAATTCTTGTAAAGTATTTTTGAATTTTTTCAATCCTTTCGCAATTATCTTTTTTCATAGGATTCCATACTTCACTTGCATATTCTAGTTGGGGTCGAATATATGTTTTGTAGATATTAATGTATTGTTCTAGTTTTCTAGTTCTTATAACTTTAAAAAGCCTATATATACTAAAGTAAGCTCTTTTGATAATTACATTAATATGATCGGAAAATGAAAGTTTGGAATCTATTAGGATACCCAAATCTCTAACTGTTTGTAGTTTAGGAATTAGGTTGCCAGATATATGGTATTTTTCTTGTGTGTTATTTTTTCCAATGTAGAGTACAGAGCATTTATTTTCTGCGATTTCTAAACCGTTAATTTTAGCCCACTTATTAAGTAATATTAGTGATTCTTTTAGTATTTCCCGTCTATTGTCATTTTGATGATATGTATATAATTTTACATCATCTGCATATATTTTAATTTTTAAATCATGAGGAAGATAGTTTGGAAGGTCATTTATGAAGATAAGAAATAATAAAGGACCTAATACACTTCCTTGTGGTACGCCTGATTTTGTTTGTACGCTTTCAGAGAATTCTTTTTCTATTTTAACTTTAAAACTTCTTTTTGTTAGAAAGTTTTCTATGAAATCATATAATTTTCCATTAATTCCACAAGCTTTTATTTTGAGGCATAAGAGCTCAATAGGAACAGAGTCAAATGCTTTAGCAAAATCAATGTAAATAATATCGATATTTTCTCTTTTTTCCAATGACTTATAAAAATCATTTAACATTGATAAAAGATTTGTTGTAGTTGATCTATATTGTAAGAACCCAAATTGTTCATCAGAGAAGAATTTAGTTTTATTTAGAAAATTTATGATTTGTGTTGAGATAATTCTTTCGAATACGCGGCAAAGTGTGCATGTAACAGAAATAGGTCTATAATTAGCAGGGTCATTTATTTCACCCTTTTTAAATATAGGAATGATGTAGGATTGTCTCCAGATTTCTGGGATTGTCCTATTATCTAATATGATTCTGAATATTTCTGTTATGGTCGGAGAAAGTATTTTCGAACATGATTTCAATAATATATAAGGAATATCATCAGGTGAATTAGAGATTTTATTTGGAAGATTTTCTAGGATATTTTCAACTGTGAGAATATCGAATTCAATATCTTCTAGACGTTCTCTTGTAGTTTGTCTAGGTGTAAAGTTTTTGTCAAATTCTTTGAGTTGGAAATACTTACTAAATGTGTTAGCAAGTAATTTACATTTATCTTTTATATTTATATGTAATTTGTTATCTTCACTTATTAAATTTGGTATTTTGTCATTTGGATTGAATTTTTGCCGAATAAATTTATGAATGGCATTACCTCCTTTATTTATCGTTTTACTTATCTTTTCTTCGTTATATGATTCTATATTCTTTTTGAGTTCTTTAGAGATAAATCGATATTGAAGTTTTAAATTATTATTTTTAGGATTTGTTCTTAAGTTTTGATGTATAGCAAGTTTTCTTGCTTGTAAATTTTTAATCTTTTTAGGATAACTGTTCCTAATAATTAAATTTAATGTTTGTAAAGGGATAGCGTTATTAAGGGCAGATACTAAATTTTGTGTTATGTTATTATACTTATCATTAGTGGTGAATTTTGTCTCGAGTAAGTATTTCCAATTTATAGATGATATGTATTTTCTAAGATTTTCTGTGTTTTTATGGCTAAAACTTCTTATATATTTTTTACTTTTGGATTCTCTATGGAATTTAACGTTTAAAATGAATGAGATCATATTATGATCAGATGTTGAGAAAGGAGCAGAAATATTATAGTTTTCAATAAGATTTTTAGGATTTGTGAAAAGTAAATCGAGTATTGAATTATCTCTTGTATTTTCTTTTATATGTTGGTAAACTTCATTTTGAGAACAGAAATCAATAAGTAACTGTCCTAGATCATTATTTGAATCCATAGTATCCCAGTTAATTTTAGGAATGTTAAAATCCCCATAGATTAAAGCATTAGAATTTAATTTAGATGAGATATATTTCATTAGTTTCTTGGTTTCATCATATGAACATTTTGGTGGTCGGTATACACAAAAAATTTCAATACCCCTTTGTATAAGTAATTTTAAATGTATAATTTCGCATTTAAATTTTGTGCCTGTAAATTTTAATTTGTATGGAATTTCGGAGGGAATGAGTATTAGGCAGCCGCCCCCAAGACCTTGTTTTCTGTTAGCAAATATTGGGTTAAACTGTCCTTTAAGTGAAAATTCTGAATGTATAATGTTATTTTCTTTAAGCCAGGTTTCGTTTATTAGTATTATTTTATTTTTGTTATTTTCCAAGAGTTCCTGGAGTTCGAAGGTTTTATTATTTATAGATCGTGCATTAAAAGCCAAACAGGATAATATATTAGAGTTTAAAGTTGTTTTTAAATTACCAGTATGGTTACTCGAATTACCCTATGCGGAAACATTTTTTACCTTAAGAGGTTTTGGTTGTGACATTTTACGAATTTCTAAATCAACAACAAAGTATTTAAATAAGTTTTCACGAACATTAAGGTCATAAGCTTGTTTACGAAGGTTATAAAGAATATTTAATTCATATTGGGTCATATCGCGTCTGGCTGTTATATTTTTAGGAACATTAGGAAGAGATTTGACACATTTACGAAATGAGTATAAAAAAGTATCACGAGATTTTGTATCAGTAAAGGGTATTTTTAGAATATGCGGTTTACTGCTTTTGTTATTTTTATGTGGTGGATGTCTATGGATACCAGCAAAATCAACTTTATCTTCAAGTCCACATTCTTTTACTAAACTTCTAACCATACCTTCATCATTTACTTCGGGCAATTTTTCAATAACAGCACGCAAAGATTTTGCCTTGATTGTTTCAGAATTGATGATAGCATTATTGATTGTTTGTGCTATTTGACATTGAGAGGAGAGGTTGGAAGAGTAGATATTAAGAGGAGGGCAGCCCCAAGGAGTATTGATTGTTGGTGAATCATTAGAATTAGATTGTTGTTTAAAAATTTCAGATATTGTTGTTTTAACAATTTCAGTGATAGTGGGCTTTAATATTTCAGCAACGGCTTTTGCAATATCGATTAATTGTTGTTGATTTAAATTTGGAGTCATTTTATATTTTCCTTTAGTTGTCCCATAATTTTATTAATAATACTATTAAAATGATGGTACGATGTGATATTTTTCTCATACTTTCAGGGACCTTGATGTATTTTTTTGGGAGATCTCAAAATCATGAGATCTAATAATTTCGTCTTTCGCCCATTAAAATATGTTTTGGCAGATTCCTGGGGTAGGGAAACACTATGAAAAGTGCGGAATGAGGAAGGAGACTCTAGCTCCTTACATCTTTGATGCCAACATACCGTATTTCCTATATTAGAGCCCCAGCCTCTGTTAGAGCCCCACCCTCTAATACAGCCCCACTTTGGAGGATAGTTGAAAAATAGAGCCCCACCCTCAATTAGAGCCCCACCCCAAATACAGCCCCACCTAAAAAATTTTGGAGGAAAAAATATCCAAATAACTTTATAGATGTATTAAGAGAGTAAAGGAAAGAAAGAGGGATATCGATGATTCGTGATCATGGAGGAGGAGGGATCATGGGGATATACCAGTTCTAGTTCTGGAACTGCTTTTTGAATTTCTTCAGTTCCAGTTCTGGAACCTGTTCCAGAGCCTCGTCAAACAAAATCACTTCATATGCCTCCTATTACCCCTAGTCCAGAATATCCCTCTTAATCCCGCTAAATCTCTCAATA